TCATTGGTGGGAATGTGAAAAGCTAAGCTAGCTCCTCTTTGTCCTTGTGTGTTCCATATCTCGTTGTTCAGCTTGTTTTGTATTTGTAAGTCAGTTTGTACTTGTATGGGTAAGAGAGGAGGCCACGTTCATCTGCCTGTTTCTAAAAGTTGTCTCTGTCCTCTGTGTCACAAAGGAGTACTTGAAAAGTCTGGGCAACACTGAGTGCAGCCCACAGACATTTCTGGAAAACAGTGGCAGTTTAGATAAGCTCCTCATCATCATTCAGAACGAGGACATTGCTGCACACGTGCACAAGGTACAGTCACTTCCTGTCCCCCTCTTCATCACAGTCAAATCTCACCATCAGTCTGTAATTCAGATTAATTGACACCATCTGAGCCAGGTAGTGAGCAAACAAATAATCTACTCCAGTGTTATTATCTGCTTGCTGAGTTGAACCGTTTTAATTAACAAGGTTATTTGCATCTTGTGATGGGATATAAATTAGTTGAAAATCTGTTCATTTATTTACTGATATGACCAAAGCTTTAATACAAAAAGTAAAAGAAGATCTCCTTTTTGCCCTGCAGATCCCAGCTCTAGTGTCTTTGAAGAAGTTACCTTCAGTGAGCTTTGCTGGAGTGGACACTCTGGACGATGTCAAAAACCACACTTACAATGAGCTGTTTGTGTGTGGAGGCTTCATGGTGTCTGATGAGTTTGTCCTCAACCCTGACCTTATCACACAGGGTAAGGTTTACTTTTGTTGGCAGACACTTTGTGTAGGTTCATGGGAACATCAGGTGAATTGTTCTTCAGAGCTCATATTGCTTGTTTTGTCTAGATCGTTTGCAAGAGCTGCTGAAGTTCTTGGAGGAGCAAAGCACCCCTGAACACCCCTGGCAGTGGAAGGTGCACTGCAAGTCCCAGAAGAAGCTTAAAGAGCTGGGGAGGTCATTATCTCAGCACGAGTGCAACCAAAGCAGCAGTAATCACATCGAAATGATCTTTACACATCTGTGAAGAAATATCCTGACAGGGCACATGTCTGCTTTCTCTTAAAGGTTA